CTACCTTACATCAACGGTTTCATGATTTACATGTGAGTTCATGACCCCATTTTCCCAACCTTTTCGGGGGGAATACATGTTAAAATGAAACAGTTACATAGTTATTACTAATTGTAGTCAGATAATTATACTCATAACATTAGGATGATATTATGTATGGTAGATAGTCTGCCCAAACTATTAGCTAATAGTATTCCTAGTTGTTATACTGAATCACAATGATAGATAAGATCATACCTAGTTGTTACGCTGGCCAGTTTCCAGGAAACGCAAATACTCTAGTCGGTATTATAGCCACCCTTTGGATAAGTTTAGTACCTAGTGGTTACTCTGCCCAAATACTCGGCTACGCAAACACATTAATTATATATATATATATATATATATATATATATATATATATATATATATATATATATATATATATATATATATATATATATATATATATATATATATATATATATATATATACATATATATATATATCAGAAAAATAACATATATAATAAGTAAACACGTATGAATACAACGAGAATAACAACACGACCGCCCAGGGAGGCCCCCACAACACGAGTTAGATGAGACACAATTCAGCAACACGCTGAAAGATTTTCAGCTAGCTCCCGACCTTTAATCGTTAAATCTTAAGTGATCGTGATATATATATATATATATATATATATATATATATATATATATATATATATATATATATATATATATATATATATATATATATATATATATATATATATATATATATATATATATATATATACGAGATTGACACTCCCACCTGTGGTTGCCAGCTACAACTTGACGTCAAGTCGAAGCAGGCATAACTTTATAAACATATTTGCGACGTCTGCTGAAGCGTCGTGGTTTTCGAGATCAACGGTCATCACTCAATTATAGGAAGTCATTGTAACTTTGTTAAACTAAAAATAACTATTAAGGACTACAAATTACCCACGTAGTGATAGTACACTCAAACTCTAGGAAACGAGTTTAGATTATCCTTACTAAACTTAATTCACAACTCATTAAGGAACGCATCAAAGAGAGAGGTAGTACACGCTACACGATAAAGGAATACTAGGATAATATTACCCTAACACCAACAATGTATTTTAGAGATACTAACAAAGATAAAGAAAGTAATGTAACACATCTTTCTATCCAAAAATCCAGGATCAGATCTAGTTACTAAACTATCTGAATCCTATTACCAAAATATTAGGAAACAACGTTAAACATACTAACATAGGTTAAGAATACAACAAGAGCACACTTAACAAACTCGACAAAGTATTTTCAGTATACAAAACCTGTGGACTCACCAACATTATGTTGACCCTTAAAAACTCACATGTATTCCTAGGTCACCAATGGAGTCAGAAGACCTATCAACAAAAGGTTATGAATGGATCACAGCCTACCAAAGTATAAGGTTACCAAGACGAAACCCAATGTAATAAAACTAAAGTTTTCTTGTAATTTATTTGGAAGTGATATTCCTGTCATGAATGGCATGTGAATGCCTTATCTATGAGCCAATATTATAACATTGCGCCGCCCGACGGTTCCGCTGCCAGGCCGGGGTGTGACAAGTCAAGAGGACCAATCTGATTGTGTTTTCTTGAATCATAACTGTTTTATGATCAGTAGGAAAATTATGACTAATGATGAACCGAATCCCGAGATTGAGTTAATAAAGTAATGAATTTTAATGTGTATGAAGTTGCATTAGATGACCAATATGTGCACTATCATGACCACTGAGATCAAATCAGATTAAATCTTGCATGATATGAATTAAAGAATGATAATAAAAATAGTTAATCACATAACCGTTATTGTAGAATGTTGTATTTTTCATATCATACAAAGAATTACACAAAGTGTATATGTAAATGAGGTGTGGGCCGAATACATAAGAGGGACAATACAAATAAATACTAAAGACAAATGGGCTAAATATAATATACACAATATAATACATATATCCGCTAACATCCCCCCCCCCCCCCCCCCCCCGGTAGTTTGATCGGGAGGAGAATTCCAAACGTTAAGACTGGTCATTAAATCGTTGAATAACTCAATGGTATTAGGCTAAAACCTAGTCGATCCTACCCTCTCTCTGCCAACGTTTCCTCCCTTATTCTTCTTCTTTTTCCTGTCTTTTTTTCCTTTCTTCACATAACCCAGTCGATTATCCCTTTCTCTTCATCATGCCTGGTGAAGAATCCTCAAACTCCAAGCATGTCCACAAAGAATATGGGATCACAAACATAAAGACCTATGTGACTCTACCAAACACAACTATGAACCATGGAGTGCTCTTTTCAAACCCCACTACAATGCGTATGATACTTTAGATCACATTGATGATTTATATGATCCCCCAAACAAACCTCTGTCGGATCCGGAATGGGAAAAGTTGGACAACATGGTAACTCTATGACTATTCGGTTCGATTTCTGAAACTCTCATCACCCTGATTCACACTTCTCAAGCCACAGCTCGCAAGGTGTGACAAAATCTTCATTATATTTTCTATGATAACAAGGAATCCATTACCATGCAACTAGAATCAAAACTAAGAACTCTTTCCTTGGGAGAGTTATCAATCCACGTATACTGTGACAAGGTCAAGGAATTGGTGGACTTACTTGAGGGACTCATGGATAAGGCCAAGGAAAGAAACGTTGTTATTCATGCACTTAATGCCCTTCCAAGAAAGTTTGATAGAATTGCCAACATCATCTGTACACAAAACCCTTTCCATCTCTACCTAAAACTCGATCCATGCTCTCACTTGAAGAAACTCGCCTTAACAACAACCGAGCCATTTCTGCCCCATTAAATGATCACCATACGTCGTCTCCTTCCCTTCTTCACATTGAGACTTCTTCTTCCTCTAGTCGTGGAGGCATTGGTAGGTCAAACCATGGCCATGACAACCGTCGTGGAGGCTCCAATCACAACAACAACCGTCACCGTCATCCCCAATATGGGTGGGTCTTTCATCCGCCTCCCATGCACCATCAACCCTTGCTATGGGGTCCTCATGCCTCGCTCCAATATAAAAAACAAACACAACATTAACTATGGGTTGCATCGTCTCCCTTCTCAACGGTGCAATTTTCCCAGCCGGCTCATCAATGGGCTCGACCCAACTCCGACAGCCCTGGTTTGCACGATAGTCGCCCCAACACTCCTTGCCAGCAGCCTTCTCACGGCCCACATGTTCATGTTCAAGTCTTGACACTGGATCAAACCCCATGGGCCTTTCAAGGCAATGTTAACCAACCCACTTCACTTCCGAACATGTTCAACACAATGACTCTCAACGACTTGGAACAGGTGGATGGGTCATGGACACGGGGGCGACATATCATGTTCATGCAAATTCATGTATACCTAGTTCTGTTTGTAATACACATTACCCTCAATCTATTTATATTGGTAATGATTCTGCAATACCTGTTTTGACATCAGGACACTACATTTTTCCTATTCCTAATATATATTGTCCTCTCCATTTAAAAAACGTCAGTGTAACACCCAATATTATTAAAAGTTTTATTTATGTTCGTAAGTTTACTACTCAAAATAATTGCTCTATTGATTTTGATCATTATGGTTTTACTATTCTTGATTATCAGACACGTCGTCCTCTCATCCATTGTGATAGCTTCGACCCTCTTTATCCTGTCACAAGATCTTCAAGTCATGCTTTTGTCTCCATCTCTCCAACCATTTGGCATCAAAGACTAGGTCATCCCGGAGATCAAGTCTTGAAGCATTTATCTTCTAGCAGTTATATTTCATGTCTTCCATCCAAAAATAATGTTACTTGCCATGCATGTCAGCTTGACAAACACACTAGACTTCTATTTTATTTATCTGATTGATTCTATTGTTTCTGTATCCTTTGAGATTATTCATTCTGATTTTGTGGACATCTCCTATGTCAATTGAACACCACCTTCCTTTCATCTCTCTTGTCCGACAAGAAACCCTATACAGTCACCGACACCACATCCTTTCTACTATCGAAGAATCAGAAGCGGGAAGGGGACGAATAGTGACCAAAAAACAAAACTCTTAACCTAGGGTTCATCTTTATTTCCCTAATTTTGTTTATATGATTTAGAGTTCAAACCTTTGTATTTGGGGTTTTTTTATTTTTTATTTTTTTATTTAAGGTTTTTATATACAGATGGTGCATTTGTTTCTTGATATATGTTCATTTCCTTAGATGATGCATTTGTTTCTTGATATATGTTCATTTCCTTTTGCTTTACAGCCTTTACTGATTTGAAGACTATATCCTTTCTCTGCCATTTGGGTACATACAAAAGTAGCTTTTGACTCCATGTTCATCATATTCTTCTTTTGTGTTAATCTAATTGTAGGTTTTTGTGGCTTTGTTTCAATTTCCTGTTTTACCAAGAACATGATGAACATAATTTTGGACTTTTTTTTGTTAATTTGATCTTGGGCTTTCTTGTTTGGTTTCGATTTAAATGGTTTCTTGGAGAGGAAAAATTAAAAGGGGTGAATGGTCGCTAAGTTTAATTTTAGTTTTAGTTTCTTGTTTTGTGAAGAACATGTGTGTGACAGAGATGAGTTTTAAAAAATTATAAAGAGAGAAAGAGGTTTTAAAAAATTATAAACATATTAAATAAATATAAAATATAAATTAAAAAATATAATGAATTTTTTTATGTTTCACAGAACTAAAACTATAACAAAAAAAATATTTTTAAACTAGTACAAGTTATAAAGATATTAGAATATATCCACTTATTTTATTATTATTATTATTTTTTCCAACAAATACCAATTTTACATTTTACTCTTTACTTTTTCAGAAAGTCACATTGTTTGCCCCCTATCTTTCTCAAAATTTGGAATCTTACCTCATTGAACGTTTTCTAATGAGTACCCCCACAACCCGAATCGTTCTAGAGAGAGAAGGTTGGGAATAAACTGCTCTTTTTCTACTCCTACTGCCACACCACTCACAAACGTAGTGGCCTCTCTCTCTTCTTTCTCTCTCTCTCTCTCTCTCCAAGATGAAGAAAAATCCTTTCTTTTTCTCTGTAATTCTGTTCTTCTCCCTCTTCATCGCCGGTAAACCTGACCTGAGCGCCGACAGGTTAGCCATCCTTGCTATCCGCTCAGCCGTCGGCGGCAGATCCATCCTATGGAACATCTCCCAACCTTCCACCCCTTGCACATGGCCCGGTGTCTTCTGCGACAACAAAACCAACCGTGTCGTCGAACTTCACTTCCCCGGAATGGGTCTCTCCGGCCAACTCCCCGACAACACCCTCGGCAATTTGACCCAACTCAACACTCTCAGTCTCCGTTACAACGCCCTCTCCGGTCCACTCCCCACAGACATCTTCTCACTCGTTAACCTCCGGAATCTATACCTCCAAGATAATCTGTTTTCAGGCCCGATTCCGGATTCGTTTTCCCCTCTTGTGAATCTTGTTAGGGTTAGCTTCGCAAACAACAAATTCTCCGGTACTATTCCGAATTCGATTAATAATTTGACCCGTTTAGCCACATTGTATTTGGAGAACAATGCGTTAACAGGTTCAATTCCGGACCTAAACCGAACTAATATCGCTCTTTTCAATGTCTCCAACAACCAATTAACCGGAGAAATCCCATCAAAGTTCTCGGTTTTCCCAGATTCCGCGTTTTCCGGTAACTCCCTCTGCGGAGGTCCGCTTGCAAGCTGTAACGGGTCAGAGTCCGAGCCGGGCGCAGTGCCATCCAAATCCAAATCCAATAAGCTCTCCGGCGGCGCCATTGCCGGAATTGTGATAGGATCCGTACTGGCTCTGTTACTAATTCTTATAATTTTGTTCTTTTTGTGTTGTAAGAAGAGAAATCAAAAGGAGGAGACAAGGCCAAAGGATCTGGTCGAAGCAAAGCAAGTAGAAGTTGAGATGCCCCGTGAGAAATCCACTGAGAATGTTGCCAGTTACCCATCGTTAACGGCGGCGGTTGGTGGTGCAGGAGGTGCTGCGAAGGGGAAATCCGGTGAGGTTGCTGCTAAAAAGCTAGTGTTCTTCAAGAAGAACAAGGAGTTAGGTAAGTTCGATTTGGAGGATTTACTGAGAGCATCCGCTGAAGTTTTAGGGAAAGGGACATTCGGCACGGCCTACAAGGCGGTGCTGGAGATGGGATTTGCGGTGGCCGTGAAAAGGTTGAAGGATGTAACAATGGCGGATAAGGAATTCAGAGAGAAAATCGAAGGTGTAGGAGCAATGGATCATGAGAATTTAGTTCCTTTAAGAGCATACTATTGCAATGGCGAAGAAAAGCTTCTTGTCTACGATTACATGCCTATGGGAAGCTTATCTGCTCTCTTACATGGTAAATTATCTCATCTTCAATTCCTCAACATAATTACCATTTCCTAATTACAAATTATTAACCAAGAAATCGTGGATCTCGATTCTTGATTCTTGAAATTCCCAAAAAAAAATTCATAATGTGGGTGGTCAACTGTCTTTTTCAAATTAAAAATTTCAAGGTTGTTCTTAGATCTGCACACAATGTCGTTTGGTAAATGGTAATGAAGTGAGATTAAAGATACTAATCGGGTATTAAATTAATGGGGTAGTTGGGTTTAAGCATTTCTTCTCAATCTTCCTAAAACAAAAATTAGGGTTAAAATTTACTCCGTACTTATTTTATTTTACTATTAAAAAAACAAGATTTGTAAAAACAAGATTTGTAATGTAACTTTCTTAAAAAAAAGAAGAAGTTACTTTACCAGTAACATCGGTAACTTTTTGAGCTTTAAGTTACTGTACTAATAACTTTGGGTTTATTGTTAAAACCCAAAGTTATTGATAGCTGACAACTTTGTCATCTATCGATCATTAACTTTCAGAAAACTGATGTTATTGAACTATACAGGTAACCGAGGAGCTGGTCGAACACCATTGAACTGGGAAACCCGATCCGCGATCGCACTCGGAGCGGCCCGTGGAATCACCTACTTACACGCGCAAGGCCCAACCGTATCTCACGGAAACATAAAATCATCAAACATTCTTTTAACAACAACCTATGAATCCCGTGTCTCCGATTTCGGGCTCGCTCAGCTCGTGGGCCCCATCTCAACCCCAACCCGTATAGACGGCTATCGTGCACCGGAGGTTACAGATATCCGGAAGATTTCCCAAAAAGCTGACGTGTATAGTTTTGGTGTTTTACTATTGGAGCTTTTAACGGGTAAAGCCCCGACCCATGCGTTATTGAATGAAGAAGGGGTTGATCTTCCAAGGTGGGTCCAATCTGTGGTTCGTGAAGAATGGACTTCAGAAGTGTTTGATCTTGAGCTTCTTAGGTATCAAAATGTGGAAGATGATATGGTTCAATTGTTGCAATTGGCTATTGAATGTTGTGCACAATATCCTGATAAGAGGCCTTTGATGGGTGATGTGATGAGTCAAATTGAGGAGCTTTGTAGGTCGAATGGGGTGCAAGAGAGGGAAGGGAATTTATCGAGTGATATCGTGAGTGATTCTTGATTCTTGATGTTTTCTTGAAATTTGTTGTTTTTGAAATTTGATTTGTTGTTGTTGATTTTTTATACACATTGTAGGTTGTGTAGTAAATTGTGATATGAAATCGAAATGAATGGTATTCTTTTCTTTGTTTTTTTGTAAACATGTTTTTTTATATGGAAGTATGGAACCACAAAAGAAGGAAGTGGTTAACTTGTTATATGTGGTTTTGTAATATTGTGATGAATTAATTGTGTATAATGCATTAATGCAATTGTTTATTTGGTCATTGAAGAGTAGGTGTCAAAGTTAAAAGTCCTTTATGATTATTAAATGTGTCTCCCTTGAAGTTCTTAATTAAGAAGTTAATATCTTTTTATTTAATTGTAGGGACACAAATGAAATATCTTTTTTATTCGAACGAGAATGACTGAACCGAATTAGTTGTAGGGACAGAGAATGAGACCGGAGCATGTGAGTGAGAGCCAATTCGACTGATGTTCCGGTATCAAATGCACATATAAAGGAGTAGATTCTAAATGGAAACTTTTTTTCTATTAGAAAATAACAAATTTTCTTAAAAAAAATTATGGATATTATGATGAACGGACACTCCACCTAAGCTCCACCCTCAAAGCATTTAATCGTTTTTTTTTAAACAACAAATATACTAAACTACTCCTAAATTATTTCATTATTGTCCACTACAGAACTTGAATCCTCAATATCAAGGAAGGGTGACAACACCAAATACTGTTAGACTAATAACTCTTCTTTATATAGACATTAGGATGTGGCGTTCGAGACAAACTCTTAAGCTTTTTGCTTTCTAGAGTATCCATCACTAATCATAAATATGGTGGAAGTCATGTCCCTACAATCTCATCACCACACACAATTATATTAGGTTGGTATGCTCAACTTTCTACACTATTATATCCCTCTTATTTTTTGATTATTTAAATAAAAAAATATTTTTAATTATTTAAAATGTAGAGAGAGGTAAAGAGAGATAGGGAGAGAAAAAAATATGATTGGGTATGGTTAATTGTGGTGGTGACCACAATCCACCACTCCACATCATCACCACAATTACACGGGGTGGTGTTCTCATTCCCACCACTATGTCACATCAATCACGTCGTTATATACCAAAAGGCTTAGCCAACATCCATTAAAAGAGGGTAAAGGGAGAGAGAGAGAGTTTGAACGGCAAACACATGTCGTTGGAATCTTTGTCGCCGACAACAAGAAAGGACATAGGGTGGTGTTTGCCATCGAAAAAGCATGCCAAATCGGATGTTGACAACATCTGACACTATGGGTGTAAGTGAGCCGAGCTACTTGCGAGCTACTCGGGATCGACTCGTTAAAAGCTCGACTCGAGATCAAATTAAACGAGCCCAAGCCGAGCTCGAGCCTATCTATTTCCATAATAAATTAATAAATCAACTATCTATTTCCAATTAATATATTAACCATATAACATATTAACAAATCATTTCATCATAATTTCCAATTTGATTATTAACCATATAATAATCTAATAATCATCATCTCTCTATAATTGTCATTCTAATTAAGTTCTAGTTATGAGAGCAACCCAAAAAAGACTTTGCTTCTAATTACAAGAATATATCAATTTAGTTACTGACTTAGACACCTTAATTCAACAATTTCCTAAATAATCATCCATTCTGGGATGGCTTACTGCAAAAATAAGGAAGATAATTGTGAAATGATGACATGTCTATAATATTGTTTTGATATTTCATAGTGGACCCTTTTCGTCAGTAGAGTGGGATTTCGTAGGCTGGTTTTAAAAGGAAGAATTTGGAGGGTTGTACTGTGAAATTGTAAATGTAACGTCTCAAAAATAGTAGTAAATTTTTCATTTTTAAACCATCAAGTCATATATCTATATATTCCAAAACCAACAAGTAAAATTGTATTTCTCAAACATCAGAGTAAATCAAAAGTAATCACTATGGAAAAAGCCATCCGGGGATGCGGTGCAGTCAAGTCGGGCCCTTCCCTTTGGAACTGGAAGTACCTGAAAATGTTTAAACCACAAAACTTAGTGAGTTCCCCAAAATACTACATATCATACAACGGGCCCAACCCGACATACAAATGGCCCTAGCCTAACATATCCATGGGCCCACCCCAACATGCAAATGGGCCTAACCCAACAGGCATACCAATTGGCCCTACCCAACGTGTATACCAATATGCCTAACCCAACATATCAATGGGCCCAACTTAACACATAATGCAAGAGTCACAAAGACAGTTAGCATCCTACATTGTTTGTTTTGAGAGCATGTATTATTTCTGGCATTGTAGATAGCGATTAGGATATTTAGAATCACTTTTAAACCCTTTGGTTCTTTATTGGAAAAAAAAATATGAAGAGCATAGTTTTGTAACTAGGAAAAATCAGCAATATGGAGAGCTTTAAAAATACCAGTACAGGCACGAGTGATCATAAGATGTACTGATGTGGTGGTAATGGGGACTTTTTGTGAAGGTGTGGATGTAGAAGCGTTTGATAGAGGTGTATAGGTGGTCAGAGTTATAGAGGGAAATATCATGGTTATGGGTTGGAACAAGATTGGGTAGGGACAAAGGTGGCAGGGGAGTTAGGTTGGTGTTGATAGGTTAGAAACTAAATGCACTAGGTTGAAATATGATGACAATGGGTTGAAGGAGTCACCTAGGGGATGGATAAAGTTTGTTGGTTTAGACTCATCTAGGATTCTAGCTATGTTAAGGTATCAAGGTCAAGATTTGGTGTTTCACCGATAAATGGAAAAATTTTACCATTGAATGGAGCATGTTAGGTAGTGTAGATGCGAAAATAGATAAATATAGACATCGTTAGACTTTGTAATGCAAATTTCACCCAATAAATAAACAAGAAATGATCCTAGGAGAGAGCTTGTGATGAGAATAATCCTGAAGGCAAGGAAACACCTAAAACCCACAAGTACAAAACTCACCATAAATTGGTGGCGTATCATAGAGAATTCAAAAGGAATTTTTTTATAAAAAACCTTTAGTATGAGACGATTCAAAATGCATGTGGTAGAAGTGAACACATCCACCCAAAAGGAGGTCGATGCATCTATATTGAACAACATAACAAGACTCATTTTAGTTAAATGGTATTGTTTGCTTTTTGCATGACCGTTTTGATGTGGAGTATAAGGGAAAGATATGTGATGACAAGTCCCATTATTTACGAAAAGATCATGACCCTGATAGTTCAAAAAATATGTATCATTATCACTTTGAAAGGCTTTGAGTTTTCGTGAAAACTGAGTTTGGAAAAAGTTCACGAAAGACGAAATAATCATGAAACCTCAGTTCAAGATTTTAAAGGATAAACCCAAATGAACCAAGAATAATCATTAACAAATACAATATAATAAATGAAACCATCCGTATACATGATAGGCGTTGGACCCCACAAATCACAAAGAACAAGATCTAAGGCATGCAAGAGCGTTTTGAATAATTTAGAAAAGTAAACATTTGCTTTGGAAAGTTGACATGAAGAGAAAATATGTGATTTTGGTAACAAATAACTAATTGATAAACAACCTGATCTAGTTAGAAAGAAATAAAATCAAGTTATGTATCCTAGATGATTATGCCAAAGCTCAAAAGAGGCATGAAGTCTTTTGGAAGACAAACTCAAGAATGTAAAACCAACGATCAACCTGACCCACTGAGCAAGTATATTATTGTGAGACGATCCTGAATAGAATTGGATACCATGTAAAGTTATATTGTGGTTAAATAATACAACAAAATACATTCCTGTATTAGAGTTGGATACCATCTCTAATATATAGTAAAACAGAAACCTTATGACATCATCCTAAACAATATGGGCCATTGATTGTATTTTAATCCTATGTTTTCCACCCTTAGATCAAATTGTTGACATCATCTTCCCCAAATGGAATGTATTTAATTCCAATAAAATCTTTCCAATTGTTAAAAAAAAATAACTTACATCCGTTAAAATGGAGAGCATTTAATTCCAATAAAAGTTTCCCATATTTTAAATCTTGAATTTCCGGTTAGAAAGGTTTTAATATTTTCAACTTTAAAAACATATTACTAAAAACCATTTCAATTAAGGCATTAAATATCAACCATTAATATAAATCCGTTTATATTAGTAAACCATTAATATAAAATCTATTTTTATTAGGAAACCATTAATACAAAAAAATTAGATTCAAATTATCACATACATATACGATTCATTATTGAATCCGCTACTCACACTTATTTTCAATCGTTGCTTTTCTTCAAACCTTCTCCTACAACATCATTCTTATTGTTTATAACTTCCATCATCATTCTGTGCTTCAAACCTTCGTTGTTGTGCACTAGAAGGTCAATATCTTCTTTCGTTTTTTATATTTTTTTCGATTATTTTTTTTGTTCTTGTATCAAATATATGTATTCATATATTTTGATTTTCTTTGTCACAAATTACATGAAATCGGTTAACTATTTTTCTGAAACTTTTCAAATAAACAAGAAAAGATATTACGTACCTTTAATAAAAAAAATGTACTTTGATGGAAACGAGTTAAAACACAATATAGCAAAGTACTTTGATGGAATGACAAATGCACCCCTACCCATTTTCCTGTTCATGGTAATCAATTTTTTGTGTATTCGTTTAGCATGATACTTCCGTTTATTATCCGAATGGTAAATCATTAATTTAGTATGTACAATGTTCATCAGAATGGTAAATCAGTAATTTAATTTAAACTTGGATCAAATCGTGATCTGCTAGTATTTTTGTTTGTTTGATTATCTCAACCTGATTACTGTTTTTTTGATTGTATATAATATCTTAAATTGGTGGCTAAATTGAAGGGATTGCAATCTTGATATAGAACTCAAATAATCTGTTAAGATAAATATATGTTAATACCGAATGAAATTGGAGGATAAGGGTATAATAGGAATAAAGATATATTTTTTTTAGTGTTTGAATGTAAATTAATATCCTAATATGATGATTGAATTACAACAGTTATAACTTTAAATTCAAATCATAACTAAAGGTTATTAATATTGTAGGTGGATAAATGTTAAGTATGATTTTAAGGTTTAGGGACAAAGGTAATTTTATTTGGGATAGAATAAAGAAGGAAGATTCGAATTTACCTTTTGAATGTATCAATAAACTCCTAAATTTATGTGATTTACTTTAATTTGATTGAAAATTAGATGTAGGAAACCTTTAAGCAAGTAAACATATGGGCAAAAGGGTAATTCCGCTTAGGAAACTAGAAAAGCGTTGGTTGGAAAAGCACTTCCGCAATAGATATTGAGATGACATGTGTATTAATGATTCTTTTAGCATGATACTTCCATTTTTATCCGAAAGGTAAATCAT